ATTCTGTTAGCATACAAATACTGTTTTGGATGCCTTTGATGGCTTCAAACTTGATTGTGGACTAAAAAGGAGGAAAACTGACACTGAAAAAAAGGTAGATGACAAAGCACAGTCAACATCAAAATCAACTATGAAAAATAACAGGCAGGATGAGGACAATGAAAATATTTTTAAATCGGATATATTCTTTGCAAAATATCTAACAAATCCAAAACTTTTAGCACTGCAGTTGTCCGATTCGAAGTTTCGGCGCGCAACTCTAGTGCAATTTCTCATTCTTTTCCAATATCTGCAGTCAAAAGTGAAATTTAAGACGTAAGGATTTTTACTATATTTGTTATATTTATATTTAATAAATTATAATACAAATTATTTAATTATTTTATATTTAGTATTGATATAAATTAAAACGTTTCTTTTAGAGATTCAAGTGTTTTGACATCATCGCAGGAGTTATACATAGAGACTACTCAGACTAGGGTATATAAGCTGATAGAAGAAACTCCACCAAATGGTAACCAGTTCTTGCGAACTGTCCAACACATTCTAAATCGAGAAGAGATATGGAATAAGTGGAAAAATGAAGGTTGTAAGGAAATTAGAAAACCTGACGACGTTCAAAATAACACAAAAGGAAAGGAGGAACCTCAAGAAGACAACGCCACAACAAGTGGTAGTGGTGCAGTAGTTAATGACAGTAATGTGAAAGAAGAATCTAGCGATGAATCATTTATTAAACAGATTCAACCACACACAAGGAAACGGCTCTTGGGCGATATACTTAGGGAAAGTTATAACTCAAATAGATACTATTTAGGCCAGTAAGTTTAAAACAACTTCGTGATACAAATTTTTATAATTATTTTTAAACAATTTTTTTTTTCAGTCCATTGCTAACTGAACTCTGGAATTTAGCACCGGATAATCTATCAGCATGTAAAAGTGAAGATCGTAATTTCTTACCTGAATTCGAAGTATATCTCAATAACAAAAACGATAGAAGTGACTCTTCATCATGGCGAGCATTGCGTTTGTTGGCAAGACAATCTCCACACTTTTTCACCACATTTAATTCGTCATCCAGTTATAAAATACCGGATTACTTGGAGAATATGCGCCGCAGAATTATTAGGGAAAAGTTAGAAAATGCCAAACCAGCCACAAGTGCAACAGTAACCAATGGTCAAGTCAGCAGCAACGGATCAACTCTTGAAAATGAAACTATGACACTAACTGACGCTGAACAAGAAGCTGAGCCTGAGTTGGGCGCTGATGAAGATATTGAAAAAAACGAAGACGATAGAAATGCCCATTCGAAACCTCTTGTGGCTACACACGAACAAATCGAAGAGATTGCTCCACTTATTGGCGATGATTGGAAGAAGTTAGGTAAGAAACTAGGTTACACTCCAGACGAGTTGGAATTTTTCGAAACAGAACACACTGAACCTAATACTGCCTGTGTTACAATGTTGGTTAATTGGTTTGCGGATGATGACGATGCCACACTTGACAATTGGGCTTACATGATGGAAGGCCTAGAAATCAATGAAGCTGCGACAGCTGTCAAGGCAATGATCGAACGTTTATCGACAAAAAGTAGTAAAACAGACGTAGAAGTAATTTCGGACTAACAATTCAACGCAACGCAACACAACACAACACAACAACAAAAACGCAAATGATCTGTTAAAAAAAATTTTAATAAACACGTAAAATTTAAATTCTGTTATTTCAGTTATTTTTCTTTAAATAATAAATTTTATCACAAATAGAATTTGATTCGTAGTAAATAAAAACCGTAGTAGATAAATGGTTATCTGAGATTTCATCGTTTTCCATTTCAACTAAACATGCTGTTGGTAATTGGATTAAGGCCACTTCGTTACATGAGATAATAATGCGTTGTTTTATTTCTAAGCAATTTTAATTTATCTTTTCTTCATTGCACCAGGCTTTGGCTTATTATGCAACATGTTCGCGCATTTCGGTATGTGACGCTCTGCAGCAGCTTCGTTGAAACGTCTGTTACAATGTGGACATTGTATATAATCCGGGTTCTCCGATGGAGGTGGTGGTGGTAAGTCACTCAGCTTTCCGCCTTTGGCTAAATGTACCTGCAATTGTTTTGCCGCACGTATAGCTGCTATGAACTCTTCATGTTTCTGACGCCAATTGTTTTTCTTAGAGGTGGTAGCATTGGTTGACGTGGAAGCAGCAACACTGGGCTTTGCCATTGTTGTGGGTTTTGTTGTATGACTCGTTTTCGTTGCTTTCTTCACAAATTGTTCCGCCTCGGTACCTTGTACTCGGTGTTTTGATACATCGAAAATTTTCCTCTTCTTCTTAGCCATTTTTTGACAAATTTGTTCATGCTTTGCAAGCCTATCTTCATTGAAATTCCGATTACAAAAATTGCATGTAGCCATACCTGGAGGTGGAGTAACTATACGCGGAGGTGGCTTTATGCTCTGAAAATATACAGAGAAAAATAACGTTAAATCTTCGAGTATTAGAAGTAAGTCTTTGGTTTCAAATAGTGGTTAGATCTATATTTAATATTAGAAATAAGTCTTTCGGTTCCAAATAGCGGTTAGATCTACATCTCGTATAACAAGAAAATCTTCCTTTTGAGATGTCGATTTGGTTTACATCATGTTTTAAAAATACATCTACGTTTCCAAAAACGCGTAGATCTTTGCTCCGGACTAAGAGCAAATTTTCCGTTCAAGATAGCATTAAGGTCTGTGTCTTGTATTAGAAGCAAATATTTGTTTTCAGACAGTGTTCAGGTCTACATTTCATATTGGAAAGCAAGTCTTTAGTTCCCGATCTTTTATAGTCTTACGTCAAAAATTAAAAAAAAAAATGCGGCTCATAAAATAGATAGGCCTACGTTCTAGATTAGGAGTAAGTTTACGTTTACTGATATCGGTCTACATTTAAGATTAGAAGTAAATCTTAGGTTCGAAATAGCAAATAGATCTACGTCCCATATTAGGTAAAAATCCTTGGTTTTAGATTAATCTACGGTTTCAGAAACACAGTTTCTTCGGTTCTAGATAGCGGTTATGTAGACGTTTTATTTTAGATATAAGTTTCAGACACAGGTTGAATATACGTGATGGTTTATAAGTTTTTAGTTCCAGATGTCGATTAGAAGTGCGTGACGGATTAAAGCTAAATTTTTGGTTCGAGATAATGTTTCAATCTACATTTTGTAATAGAAAATAAAACTTTTATTCTGGCCAGGTCTATATGCCAAAACTGTGCGTTAATCTTAATTATTAAATGTCATTGAATAAAAGCAAAAGAAGCACATTATGTAAAGAACGGTGGAGCGTCAGGATAATAACATCATCAGCACAAGTCCGTGTTTGCATGGCCAACCTATATCATTTCAAACATTAATGTGAAAAATTCTGTAAGTTTCTTCTTCAGGTCTGATAGCAGAATGCATCACTGGCTTTATGAGAATTTGTCGTAGTACGATTTGGAAACGATACTATATCTGAAAGCCGTTCTTTAGACTGCAAGGTAGAAATATGTACTTGATGAGGGATCTAAATAAGAGAATTGTGGTAGTTTTTGTTGTTTCAAATACCGGATACATTTACAAGCATGGAATAAGTAAACGAAATAAAAAATTAAAGCATGGCAATGGCAGTATATAAAAGCAAATATTGACAATTTCAACCATTTAAAAATATGCAAGGTGTCTCACACTAGTAGTTAAGACCCTCTCTATTTACTGCTAATTCTCTAGTCATTATCTATTTTACTATACTATACTGTTCATATTAACTTGTATACATATTTTGAAAACGTATTAATTGTCAACATTAAAAACAGGAAATATTTAATTTAACTCACCATAGAGTTAGTGGGTACTTTAGCAACGGTTTTCTTGATAGGACTCTGAAAAAAAACAAAACACTTGTAATATATAATCCAACCATTAGTTTGTACCTCAACTTACTTTACTCGTGGAATTAACATTTGAAGTTGGCGGCTTACTTCCAATAGACCTGTTGACGCCATTTGGACTGAGAGTTGAACGCACCGTTGTTTTATTTACTGAAATGACTGGTGACTTTTTAGTTACAACTGGATTCAATTTAATGCTATTCGACGAACTAAGACGTGATGTGGTATTGCTATCATTGTTGTTACTATCAGAATTGTTATTATCCTTTAAACTTAAAGAAGAAAATCCTTTTGGAAATGTTGTATTATCTAAAAAGTCAGTTTCGTCTGTGTTATTATTTCCATTTGATCGCTGTATTCCATTAGTGGCACGTGCTCCAGGTGTGTTTCGAACAGTGTTGATTGGTTGACGTACATTTGTTGGGGGTTTCGGTTTCGGTTGATTTGGTTTATTACGCAATGTTGTGGTAGTTATAGTGGAATTTGTTACATTTGCTGAACCATTCGGAGTGCTTCCCACATTCTTCGATTGATTTGTGCTTTTTGTTGATGAACCTGAGATGGGTTTCAAAGGATTGCTTCTGTCTATGCCAGCACCACGACGTCTTTCATCGAACATTTGTCTAACCTGAAATTCAAAAATAATTTTAAATAAATTTATAATATATGTCAGTTTTTTTTGTTTGATATATATATTTGTTGTTAATATACATATTTGTTTAATATATATATTTATTGCTAATATATAGTTATTGTTAATTTTGCTTATATGTTTATTTTTAATGTTTAATTGTTATAGCATATGTGTATGTAATGTTATTATAAAAAGGTATTTTTTATTACTCCATTATTAATGAAAATAAATCAATAAAATCAATTAGTTAAATGTATCGAATTATATTATAATTAAATTTGATTAAACTAATCTAATTAATTGGTTAATTTAATTTAATTTTATTTATCTGTAAATAACTAACTGTACTCACTAACTGTGAGTACCAGTTATATGTGAGACTTAACCTTTCTTTCTAATAAATCATCCATTATATTCTAGTCTCTCCGAGCTCTATTGACTATGTACTTCTAACACATTTAGTTAATTAAAATGTCATTAACATTAATAAATATACACACCTTTCCAGCGCCGACTGATTTGTCATTGGCAGCCTGACTTCCAACTCCAACCATCTCCATGCGACGTTGTTCACGCTCCTGTAACTGCTTTTGTTGAAATCTCATCTAAAATGTCAGATATTAAATTCTAAATTATTAATATTGAAAAGTCATTTAAATATTATGTGTGCCTAAAGTTTGTTTTTACTTTTGGCTAAAGCACGAAATTTGTGTCAATAATTTGGGGAAATAATTTGGATAATTTAAAAATCGATTTCATATGTCACATGCACAAACATAATTAGTATAATTATTTATAGATACTCTATTATTGAAATTATTTTTCACTGAACTTACGTCAAGCGATTTGCCTAGTGGCAAATGGCTCAGTGCTTCTACAAGCCTGCGGCCCGCCCAAGACTCATTGAGCTTAAGCGGCACCAATTGATCATGTAAGGTTTGAAAATTTTGGTCAGCACTTTTATGAAAATTATTCATTTTATTTTAAAGTTAAATTTATATTGTTGTCTTTTTATAACCTCAGTACAGTTCAAAATATTCCCGCTTTTTCTCCAACACGTACGAATCCATACTAAACACATTAATAGAGGATATCAACCACCGTAGACTGCCCTAGACAACTATTTTACTATTTTACATTATCCCATGAGCATGCATTTGTGGTAATTAAAGTTAAAAACAACAACAACAACGACAACAACTAGAGTCGATGCATAAATTATTGCCGGAATACGATACAAACACATATGAACGATTTGTTGTGGACAACATATGTGCCACTCTCAGAGCAAGAACTCCCCGCTCCTTCGAAGTCCCAAAAAAATAATGAAGGCCAAATTATTTGTCTTGACTTTCCATTACCTTCCTTTAACACACAACACACGGAATACTTAACAGAATTCTTTAGTCTTACTTTCAAAATAAAATTCACTTCGAGAAAGCACTTCGCTATATGGTATCTCGTACGAGTATCTGAAGAGTTATGTATGTTTTGTATGTGTATCTAATTTGTTATAAAAGTGATTGGTTCAGTGCTTAGTCATGGGGCAGGTAGATTATAAACAATGCAAAAACCGCAACGTTGCCATGACGAACCCACGCTTCACTACACAATAAAATAAACAAATCGTTAGACAGACAATCTCAGAGTGGCAGTGGCGCAGTGAAGCTTACACAGTCAGTGGTTGGGACTGTCGAACGAGCGGTCAAACCGTTGATGGATTGTCATTTGGGGCTGCCACAACGCATGCCCCTGGTTATACGTTTCATAGTAATTTCATTATTTTCATTCACTTTCGTGTGGTTACTTACCGCCATTCCACCCTTCTGTTGAAAAAATAGTTTTACTTTCCTGCTTAAACTCACTTAGCCCTTGAAAGTAAAATTACACGAATTAGTGAAGTTAATAAGTCTTGTACTGTACGACTGACTGCATGCCAAAATGACTTAATAACGTTAATGAAGCAATTTCGTTGAAATCATCTACTTTTTTTTCTTTTAAATTTTAAAACTTACAACTAAAATTTTGAATCTAACTGAAATAAATCATTGTTATTTAATAAGTAAATTTTCACAAAATATTTATTTTGTTATGTCAAATACATTATAGAAAAAAATAATGTCATTAATTCGGGTAACTGAGATAAGTTCTCTTTTTAGTACTAATAAGAGGAGAGTGAGTAATGAACTTACCAGTTGGCTGTAGAGGCAATAATACGGAAACTTTAATATACAAATAATTACTTCACGTAGATAATTTTCACATACATAATCTTCACATAGATAATTATCTCAGGTTAAAGTTATGAGTTTAGCTGAGTTAGATAAGCTTTAACTCCTACGTTCTAAAATTCTTTATCTCAACTCTGGAATGAATTTTCCTCATTACACTCCGGGTCAGTCGTGGATATCTTTTCTATTCATTTCTAAGAGATAATTTTAGTGGATCAAAGTCTAACACTGTGGCGCTGAGTTGGAAAATACATTTAGATAAAAGGCTTACCGCGTTTTATCGAAAATGTACTTAGATAGAACACCACATTATGGCAACATAAAAATCTATCTATCTGAAATGGATTGAAAAGTAGAGGTTTTGAGAAAGGTCAAGAATTTACTTAAAAGTAACAAATGCAATACATAAAGGATACGAATATTAAAAAAGTCCCTTCTCATATAAGTAATTCGCTGACAGATGAGAGCGTGACAATTCCAGTCATGCTCAAATCTTTCTAATATCAATATACATTGATAAAACGTTAAGTTTAATGTATAGTAATTTAAGTTTATGAACGTTATTTGTAATATTTCTTTACCCATACGATCTTCTACTAAACCCATGACTATAACTTTTGTAAGACCATAGACTATAGCGTTGCTCATACACATACCAGAAGAGACCTGAAAAGTGCCACAGTTGTCAGCGTGCATATAACACTGAAAAGCACGACTCTTTCATTTTAATAAAACTGAACCAACCCGAAAAAAAGGGTGCTAAAAATTTTGAATTCTAATCAATGATACACACAAACCCATGAGGTGGAGTACAGTTCCTCATAATTGGTAGAACCACAACCTCGACAAAAGTCACTGTAACACTGTAAACCAAGTGTGATAGCATCTCTTTCTAGTGCATAGCGACCTATCAGCATCCAAACCGTAGTTGTATCTGTATAGTTTAAGGTTTAGTTGAAGCAGCTGAGTGGTACTTTTCTTATCCAATTTGGACCAGGTGGATCTTAAGATCTAACAGGAATTTTCATAACTTACTAATACCATATTTAAACTAAGTCAACAAATATGTCGAGTTAACAGTCTCAGTATTGCGCATTACAAGTAAGGTTTATAGGACAAACTGTTTATGTGACGTTACAGCACTTTTAAAAAATACTATAAAATAGCTTGAATAGCATAGTTGGGTATATTGGGGTTCTTTAGATATTCCCACAGTTTTTTTTTATGAAATGCACGTTTGCTATGCTATTTTCTTTAAAGTTGCTAACAATGTCCTTGCATCTAAGAACCCGAATAAGAGAAATTTTGAATTGTTTTGACATTTCGTATAAGCCCACAGTGCATTGAATTTTAATTCAATGTATTTTGTAAAGGTTTTGAAATTATATTATAGTGATAAAGTTGGTCAAGTTAAATAATTTATCAAAAATATGAAATTTTCCCCAACTGGGTTTATATGACACTTGAAATTATCTATCAGAACTATTGAACAGTAATCCCACTATCTATTTGCGCGAAAGGTCTAATAAGATAATTTATTATTTGTTACGTATATAGAAAACTTCTAAACAATTTTTTTTTTCTGAATATATGTATTTTAATGTACACTGAACTGAACAGAAATGATATTAAAATTTTCCTAATGTATCTAATACAACATTCGAGGCTTGAATAATAGAGACCAATAATAGAGAGAATAATATCTGCCACTTCTTTAAAGTGTGTTCTAAAACGTCTGCTCACATTTTTTGTGAATGCTCAAATCTAAGGGACAGCAAAGTTATCCATCTTGGGAAAAAAGTCGACGCACAAAACAGAAGCTTTAAAAGAAACAATAACCATTTGGGATGCTAACGTTCATTAAAATCTTAAATATCAGTTAAAACCACTTGGGTTAGCACAATAGACCACGTGAAAAGCGATGTGTACAATACACATTTATTTATAATATGTAATAATAAGCGCTGACAATCATATCTAAAATTTTTTTCAAAATATTGTAAATTTATTTTTTAAATTTGTTCATATATTTTTAATAATAAATCTTCGTCATTATTTATTAAAGTAATTAAGTCATATATTAAACATGTCACACCGTATAAGGAGTGCCCTATTAATTTGAATTGATATCAATTACGATATGAATTAAGTAAGCCCCTACACTTTATACACACATGCAGTTAGTGCATTACTTATTTATAATATTTATATACCATATATATATAATATGCGTACAATGGAAAGTTCTCAATTAAAAATACTAGACACCCCTTTGAACTACGATTGGATACAATAAAATCGCAGAGGAGCTTACAGAGGAGATAGGTAGAAAGAAAGACGTTAACTTTTATGTGCCTCTAGAGAATAGCATCAAAAATATATAATAAAGAATTAAAAATATATAAAATTAAAAACATGAAGTTAAAAAAAATTTGATGGATTCCGATTTTCCGGGCATCACAGTTTGACAATTTTAATATTCTGAGCAGATTTCACCGTTATGCTATATATTTATTTTAGTTTAGTTCTCGATATATTGGATTATAAATTTGCACCTTTCCTTCCTTGATTAACACAAGGAACCATTAATTGTGCCCAAATGGGTTTTGCTTTGTAATTCAAAACTCAAAACTTTGGTTTGGGATGTAACGTACATCCCAAATCCATACTTGTTTTCCAAACGATTTCCTACTGTTTCCCACATTTTTATGTACCCTTATCCTAATCGATGTATAAGTATTTAGAATTGCTTAAATTTTAACTGATTTTATTTATCTGATATATAGATCTACACATAATCATAAAAGGAATAATCAAAAACTATTTATATCAATTTAGTTAGATTTTACTTATTTATAGCATAAATATTTTTTATATTTGTTTATATATTGTAAATTATTGAAAATGTATAATTTTGTAAATTTAAATAATCTGTGCTAAATGGGATTTTGATTGTGAGATCGCTACTCTTACTGATCCTAAGCTACATTATTGTTAGATTGATGAATATAGTATTATATATCATCATATATTAAAAATAACTTATTTCTACTGTGCGTTTAAGTTTCTAAACATTTTTATATTAATTTTTCCTGTGGTATTACAATGCTCCATTATTTGTGCTCTAATGGGTTTTGGTTTATAAGGTCGATACTCTAATCTAACGCAACCTAAGCTACAGTGATTATTATTTTGGGGCATTTAGTATAATATATATTATTTGAGATAATATATATTGCAGTTTCTATTTGCATTATATTGTTTTGTATATATACAAAAATATTACATAAGAATATTTGTAGTGTATTCTTTGAAAATTCATTCAATGGAAACATAGTAATAATGGAAATATGCTTGATATGTTTTGCGAGAGAAAAAATAATTACAAAATTTCAAAAAATAATATCATCCTGAAAATTTTTATTTCTCAGTAAAATTTAAAACTGAATTTAAATAAAGTATAAAAAATAAAAATTTTGGGGATATATTTGATAAAAAAAATATATATACATATATATTTTATATATATTTATATTTTATATAAATATTTTTTATAATATATATATATATTATATATTATATATTTTATACATATATACTTTATATATTTTTTTTTAAGTTTAACGGTTAATATTAATACTTAAATATAAATAATCTTAATTGTTTAAATAATTTCCTAACAAATTTCAAGTGTCTATCATTTATATAGCCTGAGATATGATCATTTGAAAATGTGTCTACAATGCCAATTCTCAAAACTCCATATCTCCTGTGAAAAAAATCACAAGATTTTTTCCCAAGATACGGGTCTTCTTATTTTATGAAAGGAGCTCATTAAAAAAATTTCATCCAAATCGGAGATGATTTGGTCTAAAAGATGTCCGATTTGTAAAAAAATGACTCATATTCAATAGGAATACCAACTTTTGTTTCTATCTCAACAAGAAGTCCTCTTTCTATCCTTAAATAGATATTGTAAACAAAATAAATCTCTAACGTTCGTTACTCACCATTTCAAGTGTCTATCATTTATATAACCTGAGATATGACCATTTGAAAATGTGTCTACAATACCAATTCTCGAAACCCCATATCTCCTATGAAAAAAATTACAAGATTTTTTTCCGAGATACGGGTCTTCTTATTTTATGGAAGGAGCTCATTAAAAAAATTTCATCCAAATCGGAGATGATTTGGTCTAAAAGGTGTCCGATTTGTTAAAGAATAACTCATATTCAATAGGAATACCAACTTTTGTTTCTATCTCAACAAGAAGTCCTCTTTCGATCCTTAAATAGATATTGTAAACAAAATAAATCTCTAACGTTCGTTACTCACCTGCATCATAGTCAACCTTGAGGTCGTAGAGACAGTGGCACCTTCTGACGCCATCGCCAAATAAGTAAGTGCTGAGTATTTTGTGCTACGTTTCTTCAGGTAATTATCCGAACGTCGTAGGTTGTGTGTTAGATGCGGCGAAGAGCGCGTGTTAGCTGAGAATTAACGACAACAACAGACAACAGTTGTAGTGACAACTTTGCACGGCGCAGCGCGGTGTGTGGGTTTTGGTTTTGGTTTTCTACTGGTATATCGTTCGCTGATGATTTCAGACAAGTGAGTTAATGTTAAAAAAAATACAGAGAATAACAAAAACAAAAACAAAACCAACAACAACAAGAATCAAACAACTGATTTTTGCAAACACAGCTGAGTGGCTTTTGTTTTTAGTGTTGTTGTTGTTGTTGTTGTTGTTGTTGTTCTGTATGTTGTTTTTTGTTTGTTTGTTGTTATTGTTGTTGTTGTTGCTTATTCGTTATCGTTCCGCAAACGTGTGACTCACTTAGCAAAATTCTGGCAGACGCGCTCGTTGACTCAATGAAATTAATAAACTTGCAAATTCGCACTATTTGGACTTGAGAAACTTAAAATGTTTTTTTTTATCAAAAATTGGCTTTGACCAAAAAGGGTAAAAATTATGGCTTGTTTAGGAAGAAACGTTGAAGGCGATGTGGATTATTATCTGCGGAAATAAAAAAAAAAAATAATTAAATTAAATTAAAAAAACGGTGTTTTTAAAATAAATTGTAAAATTTTTTTTTTTGTATTAAAAATGAAAATTAATTTTTTGAATTCTATTTTAAGCTGGGATTATGTAGGCTGGATGAGTGTGCTGTGCCGCCTTCCAGCCTGCAGCGCTGAATAAAGCGAATGTTGTAACGCCAACGCATTCGAGACACTTCCACAATTGTAATTGTTAATTGGTAACGTTACTGTTTTTTTCTTTTTTATTATTATTATTGTTGTTAAATTATAAAAAAGCTATTGGCATTGCAAATGCCAAAAATGGCTAAGACAATGAGCGACAATTGCTGAAAGTGTTTGAATACTTTTAGCCGTACTGGCACTCGCAATCGCATGAAATAATTAATTAACAATTTTCGCTTTAGTTTTGCAATTTCGGTTGCACTCACTTCAAATGAATTAAGCAATTGAAATAAATTTATGAAATTTTCAAATTTTCAAATTTCCTGCTTCACTGCTTCATTGCCTCAAGCGGCAAGCGGCGACGAAGAATTTCAAAATTAATCAAAAAAAAAACATAAATAAATATTAAGAAATACACATTAAAGTACTTGACTTCTTGTTAAGGCGAATGTTCTGTTTAAACTCAAACGAATTGAACGAATTGAAAATGAATCAAAACCAATTCTGGCAATTAAACATGATGATCACTTAAATTCCATATTCCATCCATATTTGAAACTTCAACCTGCATACTTCGTTTTTTTTCTCCTCTTTGAAAACGTCAGCTCGCCTATCTGCATGTAGTGTTTGTATGTAGGTCGTTTGTGCACGCGCCTTTGTGTGTGTGTATGTGTGTGTGAGTGTGATAATAAAAATAATTTGTTTATCAAGCGCCACCCTACGACATTTGCATACGACAGCAGCGAACGGCTGCGACCAACACGAAGACTAGACCATAGACCACAGACCACATTCACTTCGACGACTGCCGCCGCCTTCCAACAAATGTTACAATTCTCTGGTATGTAAGGCGAATGCCAACGTCCGAGTTTATTGACTTCTTTTGTTATTGCGTGTGTTTGTGTGTTCGTGTTTTGGAATTTCGTTAGCAGGACATCACGTACAAACAAAACAAAAAAAAATAATTCGCTGACTTAGCAGTTTAACACCCACCAAAATCAACCAAGCTAAACAGGCACGATTTTAAATTGCCCAGATAACGAGTGTTAAAATCAGCAGGGAACGGCCGCTGCAGCAGCAGCAGCAGGAAGTGCTTGGTTTAGTTCACGTACAAATATTTCATGTTAAGATTTATTTAATATAAAATACTAACATTATTCCAAGAAAAACAACAACAATAACATTTAATATTAGCAGTAAGCACATTTTTTAACTCATTCTTCCTCACCTTCTTTCAATAAGTGTGTAGAAAAGAAATAAAAACCAAAAAAAAAGCCGCGTAAATAACGCAATTTTAAAAACAACAACAAAATTATACACAAACCACTTTTGATTCACCACCGCTTACTTAGAAGTTCGTGCGAAGACTACTGACCAAGTGTGTTGGAGCAAGTGGATAAACTGTGCTTTGCTCGTTCAGCTGTTTTGCAAAAAAACTTGTAACTTCAAACATCGTAGTGGAGAAACAACAAATTGCCATTGTTTTGTTATTGTTGTTGTTATTATTATTAATATTGTTGTTGGCATACGCTATCATTGCTCACGAGCAACTCGAGTGTATGAGTAACCCACAAAATTCGTCTTTCGTTCGTTGTTGTTGTATTAATAATCGCCTACAATAACAACAACAACAACAAGCCGTAAATATCATTTCAATATTATTTAATGCAAAGATGATACTCAGCACAATATAAGATGCTTGCTAATCGGAGATTGTTGGAGACAAAGACAAGCTCTTGTTTGAGAATTCTTTACATTTGTTATTTGTTCACCCATTTGGAAATTTTTTAAATGCCGTTTATTAGGTTAAATTATTATTGAATATTAAATATTGAATAGCAAATATTTATTTACTCGTGTATAGAACAGAAATTTGTTTTTTTTACTAATAAAATTTTTTTGCTTGTGAAATGAAACCAGTTTTTTAAATTTTAACAACTTTTCAAAATTTATGAATTTTTAAAATTGCTAAATTTTTAATCATAAAATTATTATAAATGTGAATTTAATTATTCGTAACGGACCAGTAAATAATATATTTTATGTGTTAGTAAAATATTAAATGTTTAGTCCAAAGATCTTACAAAAATAATAATTTTTGACAAATAAGATAGCATAGTACAAAGAAAAAAAATTTGATTTTATTGACGTTTCAATACCCTTCATACGGGTAATTATATTACAAATTAAATTAATTTTCATTTACATAATATTTAGGCAATTTTTTACTTACTTAGTTGGGAATTAAAGGCGTAATTCGCGGCCAACGATCAAGTAGGCTCCGCCAGCTAGCCTAATCAGTGACTTGCTGTAGTCAGTTGGTGGTACCGTACCTGGTCCTTCCAGCGAGGATGCAGACATCCTCTAACCCGTCTTCCACCAGCGAGTATCGATATTCTATTAACTATTCTGTTTAAATTGGCATTTCAAAACCAATATTTTATTAATTATCTTATATGTAGTGGGTTTGTTAGGCGGAAAAATTCAATAATTATTTTCTAAATCACAACTATTAGTCCAATATTTTTGCAAATGATACTTTATATTACTTTTTCATCATAAAATTTTTAAATTGAATGCTATTATATTAAGGAATAAAACAGTTAAGATTTGCATCAATGAATCTAATTTTAAAATTAGACAATGCTATACATTAACATATATTCTTTGATTATTCTCATACGTCCACAAAGTGTCATTTTTATGCATAGAATGTTCTTTGGGTTCCGTTAGTTTACTGTGACAGTCAGTCTAATAAACAAACTTATTTAGACTCCATTATCCACTATGATACCACTACTTAACATGGACTCTAACTAGTTTAGTTTATTTTGAAAACACTTTGTTTCTTTATAAAACGCAGGATGTTTTTAATCTTAGCGCTGGGTACTACTATGAGAAAGGTAACTTAAGTTAGGTTGAAATGATGACCTTTTGGATCTATCACTATACCTCAACTGTTATTCCTTCTTTTCATTACTGTGTAATTTTATCTTCACATTTTGCATAGTATTCAACCAATTCTTATTGTCTTCCATTTTGGATCCAATAGTACCTCAATTTTGTGACTACATACTTGTTATTGTTATATGATTATTTATTCATACTACTTGAATACATTCAAAATGTATAGTGATGTGGTCACATCTTTTAGAAAAAACTGTTTTCCTCTTTGGTATTGTACAAAATAGTAATTTTAAGTTTTTTTTGAAGAAGATTGGAAGTTTTATGAAAATTCATTGCATATTTCACTGATCAAATTTATCATTATTAGACTGATTTATTACCTAGGATACTTTTCTTCAAAACTTCTGTCTTTTATTAACATATGTTGCACTACTTCTTCATTATTATAGAAAGGTTAGATTAGGTGAGTTATACCGGCAATTCCAAAGATCCATTAAGGCCAATTGGTCTATTGTATTACTGTATAAGAAATTCAGAGGTTGAAAAACCACTTTGAATCTTTGGTCAATTATTATACTTACATAGGTATAATTTATTTGCAAAATATTCAGTTCTTTCAGTTAAAACTTCAACTCTTTAGCTTTAACTTCGTCTTATCTATACAATAATACTTCAAAGCTTTTATTAAATATATGCAGACCCTATTAATTTAATGAATATTAAATTATTTATTATATTTTCTGTACTATATTACTCATTTCTATTTCTATTTTTATTTTTATTTTAATTTATATTTTTCATGTGTTAGAAGTTAATTACCCTCACGAGAATTTTTCTAACCGAGCAATTTAAATCAATACTTAAATTTCATTTATAATTTTTAAAAATAAATGCTGACCTTTTTATTTTTCAAATAGAGTATCTATTTGCATTTAGAGAAATAATATTTCTACGGCCATTTGTCATCACTCTCAATTTTTTTGTACTAACTAGTGGGTGACTTATGGTAACTGAAGGTAGGACTTCATTTTACTGCTTTAACATTGTCTATATTTTAGGAGTGTAAAATGTAGACAACATTTACTCACGCTATTGATGTATATTACACACATCATTTCTATACATACATATACATGTATCTATGTCATGGGTGTAGTCAGGATAGGGATAAGGGGGTAGGAACAATATATTATTCGGCTGATATAATCAAAAAACAATTTTCTAAAAAAAAGAAGAACAAAAATAAAAAAGTTATTTCACTGCAATTATTAATAAAGCATTGTTTAATAATATATATAATTCCACCACTTACCAAAATAAATCCTTTATAAATAAACTTAAAAAAAATGTTTACAGAGAAAACTAATAAAAACTATTACTCAATAATATCTCAATTATTTAATTATTCTAAAACATTCACTAAAAAGTCCCGAGCCTAAGTTACAAAAATATATGTCAAAAATGACAAAATATTGACAAAATTCGCCTTTATTCTTTAGGCAGAGCAGTTTTTTCTTTTTTTTAATCATTTATGAAAAAAAGGTCCTCTTTAAACAAATACTATTTAATAATATCTATTATTCCATTATTTATAAAAAAGGATTCTCTATAAAATAATAAAATAATTTATTGCACTTAAGCTATCCATAAATTGCCAATTAATAATGATATAGTGAACTGTTCACTCAATAATTGTAACTACTAATTAATAATATCTGTTCTAACAGCCATAGGACTATAGAATGGCATAAGGCCAAGTTTGGCCAACCCTGTAGTAACCTTGTGGTACCTGGCTAACGGCGCTCGTAGAAAAGACACCAGAACACTTGTTGTGTCTATGTACAGGCTTATCGAAAACCAGGTTTAAGCTAAGATATTACGTGGCATAAGATGACATGACCATTATATTACACATCATTACGAAGTATTGTGGAATCAAAACGGCTTTTTAGCTAATTGAGGACGACTCATTCCTGCCTCCATTTCACCTAACCTAACCTAATCAATAATATATAGTCAACTGCTCTATTATTTGTTCTATCAATATACTAATACTCATTAAAATGTATTGTTCTACCATTTACGAAAAAAGGTCCTGCACAAACAAATAAATTCTTGTTAAATTTATTGCACTAAATACTATCAATAAACTACTAATTATTAATCAAAGTATATTGTTCTA